GGGGGGGGGGGGGGGGAGTGGGAGGACAGTTGGAGAGAGGTTGGGTGGGGGACACAGGGAATGATTGCAATTTGTGGTGGTGCACATGCTGGTAGTATTTATTTGATCATCATATCTTGGGCACAGGTACTGATGGTCAGCTCTGTGCCCCATGAATATATATAATCAGTGATAATAATAATAAAAACTTATGTAGAAGACAATAAAAAAGAATATTATATTAGTAAATACAGAATTATTTAAAGTAATAATTTCATGCAAGTGGTACATAGATGTTTAAAGTTTCATGGTACCTATTTCATTCTCTCTATTTTTGTTTTAGGAAAAAAATCTGCAATTCAAAGAAATCTGGGGAATGGTTAAAGTTCATTCAACTAGTTAATAACAGAGTAAAAAAAAACTTCACTAGGTTTTCTTTTCTAGCTAAGTTTTTAAAAAAGAGTTGAAAATATATAAAGGTAGATGTTTTTGTATTTAATTTTTAAATAGTTCTTTTAATATTATTGATATAGTAAATATTTGCAAATAGCAGATTGTAAAGCAAAAGTGTGCTTGAAAAGCAAATTTATGCAATTCCATCATGTGAACAATAGAAAATGATGAGTGATGCTGCATTAGAATTTTCATTAATATTTTGAGATACCAATAATAACATTTTCCAAACCAATCAATTTTACTGGTTTGTTTTCTTCCCATTAATATTTGATATTTAACACAATTTTCCATGAAAATACTGTTCTCAGTTAGATGAATTATTTAGGTCCTTTTGATGTTCTGGTTATACTATAAATTTTAGTGGTGCTGAATTTCCCCAAATACTCTGTATTTCTATGAACTGTTTTATTGCATCATTTCAGTCTATTTATCAGAACAACATCAGTAATGGTGCTTCATAATTGGGCACAGTGAAAGACCAAAGTCACTTTTAGAACTTTTGAAATGACCTAAGAGCAATTATTTTTCAGCTGTATTGTTAATGCCAACCTACTCTTTTGGAAATTTAACAGCATCTTATTCTTGTTTAAAATTATCAATAAAGAAACCAATTTTACCCCAAGGGCCAGTTCTCATTTATAGTGTCAATTATTCAACAGGAAAAACAGTGGTATAATTTGGCTATGCTTGAATATAGATAAAAGGGAAAAAATCTAGGACAAATCCAAGCAGAATATTGCTTTCTTTAAATCATTAGACTGTGTGTGTGTGTGAGGTAGAAAACTAATTTTAATTTTTAACTATGTGCTATATTATCCTATAATTTCAGCACATAAAAGTATTTTCCATAAAACTAGAATTCCAATAAATTTCTGTTGATTGGATAAAAATTTGACAATGATGAAGTCTATAAATATGAAAGAAATTAGCCAAAGACTAAATGAAGTATTTCCCGTGAACCCACACTAAAAGTCCCATGAATTATTTCTCTGAAGCCTCCAAAATCTCTGTCCTATAATCCTATGATGTTATAATTACAACATATCTAGAACACTTATTCTCGGTTACTAACAATTTTAATACAAATGCCAGTAATTTGGGATGGAAAGTAGGAAAAAATAATAATAAAAAAGAAATCCACAGGTAATTGACTTTAAGGTCCAAAATAAGATACATAGTGATCTAAAAGATTGTGTACTTCTGGCAATTCAGTAGAGTAAGGAAGTATAATAGACTTATCATAATTCAACTATATTCTTATTTTTGTACTAAGTAATCATAATAAATGCACAATGGTCAAATCCATACCATACATATAAGAAGAGATCCATTAAAACTACAAAGAGCAGCAGGTATACTTAAGGAATTAAAATAAAAAAGTTATTATTTAAAAACTCATTTTATTCTTCATGTATGAATTCATATCCAAATTAACTTCAAAGATCACATGGATATTTGTGCAACTGGTGAGATCTTTTATTAAAACAATTCTAAAATTACGTACAGTCTTACAGCTTTGTATGAATTTGGAAACAGTGAAGATAGTGCTTTAAAATAACTTTTAAATAATTTTTAAAATATTTCAAGCAATTATTTATGACAAATCATTAACTATATGTATGTAATCTTGATACATTTAAGAATATGATGGCTTTTGAAGCTAAAAGCAGTTCGAATAATGAACGCTTTTAACCATTCACTATATAAAACAGAATTAGGGCCCAGAGAGTTTAAATGACTTGCATTAGCTCAAGTAATTAGCAGTAGAACTGAAATGAGAATGTTAGGATATAGTTTTGAAGAGACAGCTATAGTATCATAATTACTCAAATTAGAAAAAAATTATACCAAGGATTTTCCACTATAAAAAACTTCTTTTTTTTTTTTTTGTCTTTTGTCTTTTTCCATGTCCGGCAACGGATCGCAACCCTCAGTGTTGCCCCCGCACTGGACCGGGGACCGGCAATGGGATCGCAACCCTCGGCGCTGCTCCCGTGCCTCGCTCAGCCAGTGAGCGGGAACCGGTCTGCATGTGGGATCCGAACCCTCGGGCGGGAGAGCCGCCGCGCTTCCCAAGCGGCGCACTATCCAGTGCGCCACCGGGCCGGCCCCACTATAAAAAACTTCTAATTTCATTGACCCTATCACAACAATGTTGCTCCTGTTGCACAGTGGTCTCAAGAAATTTAAATCTTCATAATTAAAAATTTACTGGGGATCCGAACCCTCGGACGGGAGAGCCGCCGCGCTTCCCAAGCGGCGCACTATCCAGTGCGCCACCGGGCCGGCCCCACTATAAAAAACTTCTAATTTCATTGACCCTATCACAACAATGTTGCTCCTGTTGCACAGTGGTCTCAAGAAATTTAAATCTTCATAATTAAAAATTTACTGAGAATATGCCTTCCATATATGAATTTTCATTTATAAATATATATTTATATTAAACACTACAAGAGGCAAGTTTAATTTCTTGTCTTTATGAAAAAACGTAAATAATAACAGACATTCTAATATTTTATTCTGCTTTTGTAGTAGATGATTCTATACGCTCCTGGACACAGCCAACTTTAAAGACTGTTGCACAGCAGTATTAAAAAATGGATTCAAGAATTTAATTTATGTTCTCATATGTATAAAATTATTTATCTTGCCTAAGAAAAAAAATGACTGGTTATTCCATGAGACCAGAGGTTTCTAATTTCTTTTGCCATGCTTACTTACGCACACAGGACGGGAGTTGACCAGACCAATTGTGATCCTGCTGACATATCCTCACTGAAGAACCAATCAATCTAAAACCAGGATTACACTGATATACGACTGTGTCTCTGTATCCATAATTTTCTCCAATCACTTGACCATTTACAATGAGTTCTGGAATTCCACAGTGCCCTGCTGAAATGGGTCAAAAAACAATATTTTTAATTTTGTGGTTTGTTTTATTTTTATATCTGTGTGCATATGTAATATTACTAAACTTTTAAATTTTACTTATAAACATGCCACAAATAATTCAAACATAATTTTATGACATAATGATATTTATAAGATATTCAGCAAAACACCAAATATTTGGAAATTTAAAAATATATATATATATAATTATAACAATACTTGGGTCTAAAAAAACTACAAAATATTTCAATCTGCATAAAAATGAAAATATTACATATAAGAATTTGACGAATACTGGTAAAGCAGTGTTTAATGAGGAAATTTACAGGTTTAAGTGCTTTTATTATAAAGAAGAAAGGCATATAATCAATGACCTAAAATTCCATCTTCAGAAAAGGGCAAAGAGGAGCAAAATAAAGAAGAGGAAATAAAGCAAAAGTAAGTACACAGAGTAATATTTAAGACAAGTACAGAAAACAAAAAAATATAAAACAAAGAATAGAGAACATCAAAGTAAAAAATTGTTTCTTTAAAAATAGCAGCAAAATTGTTAAACTCCTAGCTAACTGGACAACACACAAAAAAGGAAAGAACAAAATTACCAATAACAGAAATGAATGAAGTGATATCACTACAAAGACTGTAGAAATTAAAAGGATAAGAGAATATTACAAACAGCTTTATTCAAATACATTTCAACAGATCAAAAGAAAAACACAAATTTGAAATTATAACTTGTCATACTAAAATAAGATGAAAAAGAAAATATGAATAGTCCTATATCTATTAAAATATTTGAGTTATTAAACAAAAACTTTTCCATGTAAAACACTCAGGCAAAGATGTTTTCACTGGTAAGTTTAAACATTTAAAGAAAAAAAAATCAATCTTACACAAACTTTTTTAGAAAATAGAAGAGAAAAAATATAACTTCCTAATATGTTTTATGGGGTGATTGTTGCCCCCATAGCAAAACCTGAAAAAGACACATGAAAAAGAAAAATGTTCTCCATAAAGACATGCAAAACTCATTAACAAAATTTTAGAAAATCAATCTAACAACATACATAAATTAAATACATCATGATTATCCGTGGTTTGTCTAGAAATGAAAAGATGATTTAAGATGGAAAGTCAGTCACTGTAAATTACCATATTAGTAAAGGAGAAAAAAATATGTTTATTTCAATAGATGAAGAAAAAATATTTGGCAAAATTCAGTTCCTTGTCATGATAAAAACTAATGACAAATGAAAATAAGGGAACTTTTTTAACCTGATAAAGACATCTAAAAAAAACCCTCTAGCTAGTATCTTATTTACCAGTGAATTATTGAATGCTTTCCTCCTATTATAGGGAATAAGACAGTTAAGTCCACTTTCACCAGTTCTATTTAACATTGTTCTGTTGGCCCTACCCACTGTAATACATTAATAAAAAGAAAAGAAAAACATAATATTAGAAAATAAAAAAGGAAAACTACTGTATGTTCAGATGACATTATATAGAATCGTAAAGTTGCAGGATTCTAGACAAATATTTTAAATAATTACATTTTTACATACTAGTAGCAAACATTTGGAAAATATAATTTGAAATGAACAATTTCACTTATAATGGTGAAAAATTCTAGGGAATAAATTTAGTAACAGACAAACAAGATCTCTATGTTAAAACTACAAAATATTAGTATGGCCAAAAAAAATAAATAAATAAAGAAGGACTAAACAAATGAATAAATGTGCTGTGTTCATGGACAGGAAGACTCAATATTGCTGCATACCAATTCTCTACAAATTTATCTATAGATTCAATGCAATCCTGATCATAATATCAACAGGCTTTTTTTTTTTTTTTTGGAGAGTTTGATTAGCTAATTACAAAACTTAAATGAAGCTTTAAAGTCCTAGACTACAGAAAGTTATCTTAAAAAATAAAAACAAATTTAGAAGACTTGCATACATAATTTAAAGACTTATTTATAAAACCTTTTCAAAAAATAGTGTCATATTCATCTGAAAAAATGAATTTTTTCCATTCTATCTCATAATACATTAAATAACAAATTAAAGATAAATCATAGATATAAAAGCTAAAAGTATAAATCTTCTAGAAGAAAACATAAGAGAAAATGTTTGTGATTTATAGCTGAGCAAAGGTTTCCTAAACATAAACAGAAAGCAACAACCAGAAAAAATAAAATAAAATAAAATAAAATAAAATAAAATAAAATAAAATAAAATAAAATAAAATAAAATAAAATAAAATAAAATAAAATAAAATAAAATAAAATAAAATAAAATAAAATAAAATAAAATAAAATAAAATAAAATAAAATAAAATAAAATAAAATAAAATAAAATAAAATAAAATAAAATAAAATAAAATAAAATAAAATAAAATAAAATAAAATAAAATAAAATAAAATAAAATAAAATAAAATAAAATAAAATAAAATAAAATAAAATAAAATAAAATAAAATAAAATAAAATAAATAAAATAAAATAAAATAAAATAAAAAATAAACAAAAAGAATTTACCATATTTGAAAACTTCTGCTTGTCAAAAAACATTATTAAAAAATGAATAGGTAAATCACAGAATGGGAGAAAATACCCATAAAACACCTAATGATGAAGGCCTTGTGACCTAAATATACAAAGAACTTCTGTAATTCATAATAGAAAGGGAATTTAAAATATGATACTTCACCACTTCACAAAGGAAAATTTACAAACAGCCAAAAGCAATGAAACTGCTCAGCATTACTAGTCATCAAGACAACAGAAATTAAAATCATGTGAGATAATTGTATGCATCCAGCAAAATGAACAGAATGAAAAGACTGGCCACACCACATGCTGGAGAGAACGTGAGACAACCAGAACTCTCCCCTGTATTCCATTCCTGAGTACCCCAGGGAAATAAATGCACATGCCCCCAAAAAGATTTTTATACGAAAGTTCATAGCAGCTTCATTCATAATAGCCCAAAACTTGACAGAGCTTAGGTGTCCATTAACAGGAGAATGGTTCAAGTGTGGCATAATCATATAATGGAATTCTATTCAGCAATATAAAGAACAAATTACAGATATGAGGGTACTTCAAAACATTCATGGAAAAACAGAATTAAAAGATAAAACAAATCTTTCCATGAGGTTTCTGAAGTACCCTAGTACACATAATAACAGGGATGAAAGAAAAGGAAAGAAGCCTTACACATAACAGTACAAATTTCAGAATTCAATTCATATGAATTTCTAGAACAGGGAAAACTGATATATAGTGAAAAAAATCTGAACAATCATTGCCTCAGGTTGACGGTGGAGAAGGTACAGATCGACTGTGAAGGGTCACAGGAAACTTTCCGAGGTAATGGGGAATGGCGATTTCTCTATAGCAGTTTAGTTACACAGGCGTACACATTGTTAGAACTTATCTAACAGGGCATTTATGTTACATGCATTTCACTGAATATAAAATTCTGCCACAGTAAAAAAATGAGAACCATAAATGAATATTTAACTCTAGGTAATGGTATGCATGCTGAAATGTTTAGCAATGAAGTATGCTGATGTCCACAATTAACTTCAAAATAAATAAAGAAAAAAAAAATGAATTGATGGATTGATAGAGGCCTGGCAAGATAAGTAGATTTGTGATAAGCAAATATTGCAAAATGCCAATTACAGAATATAGATGGTAGACATATGGATGTTCACTGTCAACTCTTTCAATTGAAAAATTCATAATAAAATGCTATGGAGTTAGGAATAAATGCTTAAAGAAATAATATACTTAGGGAAATAATTTTAAGCACATGCTTGTGGACATTCTAAGCCAAATTGTCCGGGGCTACAAGGGTAAGTTGAGAAGAATGACTGAATCCTTAAGGTCATTTCCCAGCATGAATCCTTATGGTCAATTCAGAGCATACGATTCTATGATATGCTTGTCTGGCAACTGCACTGTCCTCCTACCAACATCCTTTTAGGTTTACATTAGATGTCAATAAGTATATCCTTTATAATAAATGATGATGTCTTCATAGACTGACAGCCAATGTTTTCTAAACTAAGTAACCTGTAACTGCAATCAGTGTTACCAAAATCCGCTTAGGAACTATTAGGAAATGCTTAATCACATACTAATATATAATGACTTAATAAATTTATTTTTTATGCAATAGTCTTATAGAGTATTCAAATATGTATGCTTTTATAAAGAAGCTATTGTTGCTGGTTTTTCAAGTATCCCTATTAACAAATTTACCCAAGAAGGGGAAAAAAAGGAACTTTAAACAAAACCTCTAGCCATATATTTTTAAGTTCCAAATAATGCTTGTATTACCATGAATATTTTTAAACTTATTAGCAAGACAATATGTAATTTAAATTGCTCATATATAGACTTTCTGCCATGTGTCCTACTCTTAAGTAGTAACTATTTAGAGACAAAATATTGTACACATTTTGCAGTACCCTTTTCATAATATCAGCAATTTTTAAATTAGTAAACAAAAGATCATCCCTTGTTCCTAACAGATGAGTGAATAATTATCACAATTTTTGTTATTACTTAATCAACACTTGCTGTCATATCCTGAAACCATTTTAGAGAAAAATAAAGCATTAATCATACTATTCTCTTAAAATTAAAGAAATTATTGAAATCTTTGAAAAAAGAGATGAAGCATAAATCATGACATTCTTTTCATAATAGAAGAGGTGTAAGAAGAATGAGCTAGTTTAGTTTCTTTCACTAAACAGTTTCTTATAATGAACTCAGGGAACACTAAGGGTAAAAAAGATCCAAGTTGCCTAAAATTGTGTTCAAAAAAATAATTTTTTTAAGTTTTAATAGAAAGTAGTTTACATATGTTGAAATCTTATAAGATAAAAATATAGAGACATTTAAAATGTAGACACTGTTTTTCTTCTTCAGTCATTAAGCAAATAGGTGAAAGAATTGACTATGGTCTAGAATGAATAAACTGCTACAAAGATTAATCCAGCTGAGTATGCAGACATATAATTTTCAGCAATTAGTTTTCACCTTTTTATTTTCACCATGCCTGGAAGAAAATGTGTCTCTCCTTAATGACATAAGATTCTCATTAGGAGCACAAGCTGATTAACATTAAGAGCAATCCTTTTAATAGCTTTTCTACCATGAGACATTTTTTAAGTTAAGTATTTTCTGCTTTTTTGCATCCTTACTGAGTGAATATAAGTTATGTTCTCATATTAAGGGAAAAGCGTTGCCCCTTTTCTAGGGTGGATGGGAAAGTTTGGTTCAAATAGATGAAAAATGTGTACCTAGGCATCTTGTTTCAGATCCACTCCAAAGACCTGAGGAAAGGCATTCTCGTACAGCAGAGCCTACAAGCATGAATCCCGTATCACAGGTAAAGATAGCTGTTGAACCATATGAAGTTTGAGTACCAATCTTGTTTCCATTTGGAGGTGCAGGTAGTTCTCCACAGGAAATAACTTTAAAATAATAAATAAATAAAACCCTTAAAAACACAATCATATGCACTTTTAACAAAACTATATTTTTAACATTTTGAGTTCCCTATGAGTTGATGTATTTACAATTGAAATTGACAATCATAAAACATCTTTAAATGAGTGTGGAAGTGTAAAGGAAAGAGATGACATAATTTAAAATTTATCCCCTTTGAGTTCCCATAAAACCTTCTAAGTGACAGTGACATGTGATAAAGTTATTTTCTTTGTATTTTTTGCTTAGCCAACATAGTTATAGTGAAAGAAAAAAATCATATGATTAAAGAAAAATCACATGATTAGTCAAAATCTTTCCCTAATTTATGAAGTGACATTAGACAAGTCTTTGACTTACCTGAGCCAAAGTTTCTTCATATCTAAACCAATGCTAAGATAGTAAATACAATTACATTCTGTTGAGGACTCTATAGTTAAAGAACTTTACATGTAAAATATTTGATTTTCACAAGATCTATTAGATATTTTTACATTTCAAATGTTGTTTGTAGGTTTTTAAGAATTTAAGAAAAGAGATTAACTGACTTGCTAGTCCATTCAGAACCCATTTTTTATGACTCCATACCTAAAGACTACAAATGAAATGTCACCCTAGAATAAAAAGCAGTGATGTTCATTTAGTGCTTCTTGCATTTCAGGTACTATTATTAGTGCTTTCACTTTCATAATTCTCAAAACAACTCTCTGAGGTAAGTGCAATTATTGTCTAAATTGTATGCAGTATGATATAGGCATAGAGAAGTTAAGTAACTTCAATAAGGTTACACTTCCTATAAATAACTAAATTAAGATTTAAACCCAACAGTCTAACTCCACAGTGCAATACTTAACCATCAGCCCCTGGTGCTTCATTCTGGCACCAGTTAGAGCTTTCAACTCTAGGCTGTTGGATAGAGTTGAAAAAACCTACAAACTTTAAATAGCTGCATATAAAATTTAAAATATGCTGATGGTTTTGAGTTAAGACCCCAATAGTCCTTTGAAGTAGCTATTACCATTATTACTCCACTAATATTATTAATAACAGTAATTCTTATATTATTTTAACTTAAAAGATGAGTAAATGGAGGACTAAAAAAGTTACTATTTTTTTTCATTTTCTGAAGGAATTGCGATTCTCAGGTTCCTTGTCTTTCCCATTCTCACCTTTGGGCAGTAACCTAATCTTAGGCATCACTTAAACCCTTCTACACTATAGGGGATCTAGTATAAAGGATCCAGACAAACATTTGTTCAATGCCTGGTTAAATGAGCATTTTTGTTACAGGTAATTTTTTCCTAGCTCTTTGAAATATCTTAGTTCCATCTGCCTTTTTAATGAAATTATACTGGAAGAACATGGAGGCTGCAGGCAGAGAAAAATCCTTGGAAAAAACCTGGAAGAATAGGGCAAAAATATACAAACATAGATGTCATATTTTTAGAATATCAAATATAATTTAGAAATCTATTTTTAAAATATTTATTCATCAATATGACTATCTTATAAAACAGGGCAACCAAAAAATGCTATGTTGATACAGAGATTAAAAAAATAAATTACAAATCACAAAATATTCATAAGTAAAATAATAATAGAAACTTCTGTACTTACTGCGCATAAGACAGTTGTCTGTTATGTTAAACTTAATCATCACAACAGTATTTAGGCTTTTGATTTTTTTGTTTGTTTATAAATTATGGATGTTTATGTCATATAAGCCATAGAGTTTGTTAGACATAATTAAAAGGCTTAATTTTTATCCTTGCATACTTCATGGCACAAAGATAAATATAGTGAAGGAAGGTAAAAGGGAGTTCAAGACATTTCATCTGAATATCCTATGTCCAGTTAGTTTACATTGGATATTATATTACAAGAATGCACGGAAATAAAATGACAATTGTTCGACTTAATTCAGTAATATTTCTTGAGATCCTTGAGAATCTGGTTCTAGCTGGTATTTCAAATATGTCATAGCTTTAAATATTTACAATAACTCTATGGGGTAGGTGTTATAATTTTCTAATTTAAGAAATTTGGGATCAGAGAGAATAAACATCATATAACATGGTGATTAAAAGCCAAGGTTTGTAGTCAGACTCTTTGGGCTAAATATCACTTCTCCACCATTTTTAGGATCTGTGACTTACATAAAATGATTAAATCTGGGGCTCAGTTTTATCTTTGGTTCAATGAACATAACACATGTAAAGGGCTGAAAGTAGTGTCTAGCAAGTGTCCAGCAAGTAGTAAGTATATAATAAACATTACTTAGTTGTTATAGTAAAGATACATTTAGTATCCAAATATAGGATTTCTTAATCCAAAGCCCATTATTTTTAAAAAGCATTTACTAATACAAACATAATTGAAAAAATTTTAAATGCAATGAAAATAAGTAACCATATTAATAATTTTATCTCATTATTGTTCTAGCATGTTTGGAAAGGAAGTGATTCAACTAATTCAATCAGCAGAGATAGCTTATGAAATAAGTTTGGCAGAGTGTATACTCACTTTGACAATATGGTCTTTCATTTCTCCAACTCCAGGTTCCATTAGGAAGACATTCAATGGAAGCAGGACCTAGTCCATGATAACCAGGGTCACAGCTGAAAACTACCTTGGTTTTATATTCATAATGGGAGCCATTCACAATTCTCCATCTTCCATGTTCCAAGGTAAATGAATTAATGCTTGGACACGTAACAACTATAGAAAAGCCAAGAATGTAAATACTAATAAGTCAATCCTGTCTGTTCCACCTCTTTACTATATCCTATGTTCATTCCATCCTTTACATCTCCACTGCTTTAAACCCTTCGCTATTCTGCCACAGAAGGTCTTTTAGCATTTGTTCTTTATTTCTTTTTCACATTAATCTTTTCCATTACCCCAGCTGTATGGTACTGCTGGCAGTTCTTTGAACATATCTTGATGTTTCATAATTCAGTTTCTTTGTACATATTATTCTACCCATCTAGTCATTTTCCTCCCTTATTTCTTTGGAAGCTTTCAAAGGACTATATTTTGAGGAAGTTTGTTTGATGAGAATGGCCTTTCTATCCAGGAGCTGTGATATAAAGTTTGGCTAATTCAAAACTTGCTTACGATAAGTAGAAGCGTTACTAGATACCTATGCTAAAATTGTTAATAATTTAACAATCTTCATTTTAAATAAAGTCACAGTTAAATTGAAGTTAGTACTGTATGGGCAAAAATAATTAAAATATAGAGAAAATTAAAGACCTTATTTAAGCCAAAATTTTTCTTTCTTTTTTTTGCTACCAAACACGTTATGAGAATTAATTTCTATTATCATTATATAATAATCATTTACCTATTAAAGTAGTAATATCAGCAATGGAAAATAGTGTAAGTGTAAGTAACCTGAAGAATACCAACAAAAGTCAAAAAGGTTCTGAATAATTTCGGCAGCATCATTTATCTTTATAAAAATCAGAGCTGAATATATTGAAATACTATTTTATTAACACAAACTGTAAAATATTTTCCAAGGGACTGAGTATTCAAAAACACACATTGATTGATGGATGACTTTTTAAAGCAAATAAATGAAACTTTATTATGCAAAATGAAAAGTCACATAATTTTTTTCACATAAATATTTAGTTTCCAAAAATGTCCTGTACTGTCTTCCAGTACTCCCTAGTACAAGACAGCTTAACTAACTTCCATTTGCTTCTTAGACATCACACTTCATTTCAGAAATCAGTTTTTTAAAAATTCAACAATATATAAAATTTCAAATAAGATGCCAGTAGAGGGCCGGCCCCATGGCGCACTGGGGAGAGTGTGACGCTGGGAGTGCAGCAGCGCTCCCGCCGCGGATTTGGATCCTGTGTAGGGATGGCCAGTGCGCTCACTGGCTGAGCGCGGTGCAGGCGACACCAAGCCAAGGGTTGCAATCCCCTTACCGGTAAAAAAAAAAAAAAAAAAAAAAATGCCGGTAGAAATACAAGTAATGAAATGTCCTAAACAAACATACCGACACAGCGAGGAGTCTTGTTATGATTGCTCCATGTCCCGTCTGATTGGCATACAGCAGTGGTAAGTTCCTTGGATGACAATCTATATCCATCATTACAGAAATAGGTAACTCGGGTTCCTACCAAGTAGTCAGTTGTAAGTATCCCTCCATTTGTTGGAGCTTTAGGAATTCCACAGGAAATTGCTAGAATAAATACACAGATACAGAATCATAGAAACAGAAAAAATGCTTCTTATTAGATAAGTCTGTTATACCATAAAACATGCAAAACTATTTGGGATCTTATAAATTCCACTGAAAAAAATTTAGAATGCCTCACAGAAAAGCTTTCTGAACCATAAATTTTAAATAATGTATTTAAAACTCCTATTGAATGTTTTTAAGTTGTTGAATCTATATATTGTTAATGCTTTATTTTCTTGCTGTTTTACTTAGTGTCTTTCCATCATGTGCATGGTTATCGGCACTTATATATATGTTATGAGACTTCAAGTTAGGTAAATATAAAGTGTATCTAGTGCTAACCCATAACTAGACCACATATAGCAAGCTTGCTTGATATAATTTAATAAATAATTATTATTACAGATTATAAAGGGGGTAGCAACAAATACTCATCAATTACATAAGTTTGGGGCCAGGAATAAAATAAATTTTTTCTTTGGCAGCTGGCTATTTCTTTGTCTTAGGCATAACCAAAGTGTACGTGCTTGAGCACCATCCATAGAGTTTCATGAGGACTGGACACGTTTAATAAATATAAGGCCAGAATGCAATTTTCATCCCTAAAAATAAAATCAATAATCTTTCAATGAACACATTTAGCAGCAAACCTCCAACTAAAATGAGAGTATTTGTATTTTGTATATCATTCTCAGTGTAAATATTTATACATATCTTTGTAGAAAGATTAACTTATTTGAATATGGGTGTCACCCCAGCACCAATGAATTACATAACAATGTCTGATAAATTTACTTAATATATTTATAAAATCCCAGAGTTGCTGACTTCTGAAACATACGTAGTCTCACAGGTGTCATATAAAGGATTCTAGACTTATATTTTTCTCATAACAAAAGAAATAAAAAACAGAAAGACCTGAGTTTAGTTTAAATATTATAAATGCTGTATTCTATTCACCTATCTCCCATTTCAACCTAAAATTGTTTCTATTTCTCTTATAAAACCTATCATTTAAGTGTTTAATTTTCATGAATCCATGTGCATTGACTACAAAGTGAAAAACCGTAGTAAAATCTATATGAAATTGTCAAAACTAAATGGCAAAATCCCTACTGCTTAATAGTTTGATCTTTTGTAATTTGGTAACCTACAAATTATGAACAAAAAAGCAGTAATGATGACTTAATAAATTATATAAGCTATCTCATATAATTATGTTATTATCTCTGCTTCCTAATTTCAGAACCTCAGAAATAATGTTGAGAAGTAAATAGCTCCCTGATGTCTGTTAAAGAAATATTTATATATTCACTTAAAACTTTGGGGAATTTCAATTTCTAATAAGCCTTCTCCCCACTGCACCCTGCCAAAGATTCAAAGATTGTGTATTCACTGATTTTTTTTTTTTTTAATTAACAGTACATTGTTGGGGTAGTGTAGGTTGAACCTATATCAAAGTAAAAAGCAACACAGTTAAACGGTATAAAATGTTTTTATGTTAGACATGAAATAAAGAGACAGCATACTAAAATGACAGAAAAACTGTGCCCGTGGATAGCTTGTAATTTAACTTCTCAGATTAAAAAAGAAGGAAGTAAACAATTCAGTCCAGAAGAATCATCATCACTGAGTGGGGGTCAAAAAGACTTCTCTACAGAACTCTCAAGAAAGAACAAATTAAAAAGTAAGGCAGTGAATATAAAGTGTCTATTTCTATACAACACTATGCATTACTCATTTGTACAGTGAGATAGGGATGGCTCAATTCCTGAGGGTGAAGCATCAATAAATGGTTGTTTGATATGTAGAAAAATAAGTAAAATCCTAACCAAACCCAGAGATAGCTGACTAAATTTTCTACCTTTGTACTCACATTGTGTAACTATAGCTCAAGTAAATATATGTGAGGATGTATAAGAAGACTGAAGAGGCAAGAACAAAAATGACTGAAGAATGCAAAACAAATTTAGAACAGTAAGTTAGCATTATGTGAACAGCTCTTTCCAATGTCGTATAACCATTTTTTAACTAGCCGTGTCCAAAAAGATAAGTCACATGAAATAAATATTTTTAATAAAATAACCTTTTAAAACTGTTCTGATGTTAATAAAAGATTAATTTTTAAAAACAACTGCTTGAATTATAAATATTTTATCATTTTACTATGCCACATATCTTCTTTTATAACTGCATTTCAATTTACCTATTCTAATTGTGGACAAAATTTTAAATAAAAAATGATGAAAAAATGACTTCATATGTAAATGTAATATACACCTAAAAATCAATATAATTATAGCACTGACTCTACAAAACAATTTCAAAATGGCGGGAAGCTCAGACTGGTCGGTTTGCTCAGTTGGTTAGAGTGCAGCTTTGTAACACCAAGGTCAAGGGTTCGGGTCCTCATACCGGCCAGCCACCAAAAAAAAAAAAAAAAAAAGTTTCAGGAAGTTTGGGATATTCTTTATTTTAACCAATAGTTAATTATTATCACTAAAGGTTTCTTAATGATTACATATGTATATGTGCCTGTGTATACAAATAAATATATGTGGGGCCGGCCCGGTGGCGCACTGGAGAGTACACCGCTTGGGAGCACGGCAGCACTCCCGCTGAGGGTTCGGATCCCATGTGGAGACCGGTTCCCGCTCACTGGCTGAGCACGGTGCGGGCACAACACCGAGGGTTGAGATCCCGTTACCGGTCAGTAAAAAAAGACAAAAAGGAAAAAAAAAAAAAAACAAACAAATAAATATATGTGTAAATGTATGTGTATATATAAGCAATCCTTACGTAATTAAAATGTAAAAGTTCAAAGTTCAGAGCTTTTTAAGGTTTATTTAAAATATACACAATTTATTTTTATTTCCATGATTATAAAATTATGAGATCAAAAATTCTTTTCCAAACCAGTTTTGGGAATTTAATTAATACCAAGAAACTGTAAATACTCCTGCTATGTCAAAGGAAAAGTGGATGTTTTGATAATTTATTAAAACATATCTGTTCTGCATGAAGACAGTGCCTTCAATAATGATAACCCACTAAAGTAATACTTTCCAGAATCCTAGCACATGATTAATGTTTCCTGCATCAACACAACAAGAAAATAATGGTTTTTAATTTCAATTTGTTTATATATATATCTATGAGAACTATTTTTTCATAATTAGAAACTGCAGTCTAATAGACTAAAGAAGCCATTTAAGGTACCTGGTAATATCTATTCCTGAGCTAATTTTAACTTGCAGTTATTTGATTTTAAATTTCAATTAGCCTATGTCATATTTTATTTGTTTAATATAATTCCCTCCAAAAGGTAGATGAGTATGAATTGGGTAGATAAGCTAAGAGTGTGCTGCATTTTTTTAATATGAGGGTTCAAGGTTACTATATGCATGTCCACATGCTGGATAGAATAAATCAAACATAAAATTCATTTTCATATTGATAAAAATAATGTGATAAATTAAATATCTGAAAATATTCAAAGTCCAATGACTTTAGTTTATCTTGTGTAACTGATGTTGAACTTGTCTATATAACTATACCCAGCTAAGAGACGCAACTACTTTTTAAAAACAAGTCCAAATCTAAAGCTCTAAAATGGACCATTTGTTGATTAGCACGTTTGTCATTGTGTTTCCTATAGCACAGTTATTGGAAGTTTTAGTAATCGAAATAGAAAAGTTAAATGGGGTTAATTTTTCATTATGTTTTTATCTATTTTTGGCTAATATACTTCACCTTGACAGGCAGGGACTGGTGCATCCCACGCGTGATACCCATAGGAAGACTTTCTGCACACAGCACTGCTTTTCCCAACAAGTCGGAATCCTCGGTCACAGGCCCAGCGGACCATACTGTTAAGTTGCCCACCTGTCTGACTGATAATGTATCCATGAGGTGGGGATTCTGGTGTACTACAGTAGAAAGCTTTTCAAAAGAAGAATAAATAACTGTTTAATTAACGAAACAGAAATTCTTTATTAACCAAAGATATAAACACCTGTACAGAGAATACTCGTACTTAAAAATAGGTCAATTGTCATCTATGTGAGCTTTACTTCATATGAACGTCCCATTGTTTTCTATACTCTTTTGAAAATAATCTGCTTACATAACTTCTAGAAAACATAACTACCTCCGAACTTTCAAATTTGTACTGTCAACTAAGATGTCTTCTGAGTTAAAACATATTTTCTTAACACTCTGGAGGTTTAAAAGCCCTACAAATATTTCATAGAATTTTGAAAACTGTATTTCCTGGCATTTGAAGGGCCTAACTGCCACAGCTGTAGTAGCAATATCTTACAGCATGGTGTTTACATTTCACATTGAAGTTATCTCCAGACACGTGTATTATATTAGGTCATGCATTTCATTTTGGTTGATGTCTAAAATAGGCCCCCACATTTCATAATCCACTTTACCAGTTTATTAAAGAGTTTCCATTCTGTCAAGAGTGCTTGCATATGGTGATAAAAATTGGCAATAAAATAAAATTTTTTTCATTTCCCAAAGTCTGAAATGCCAAAAGATAATGTCAAATAGCTTTTTCACATATATATATACTTTTGAGACTCTTCAATCTGGCAGATTACATTTACTTTTTAAAACTTTAATGTATTCATCTAAGAAAAATGAGACTTGGGGTAAATAGTAAGAAATAGGTTGGACTTAGAATATATATGTCATAACCTCTCATAAGAGAAAAAACACATATTTAATGTCAAGCTATTCTTGGGGGCTAAAAGTGACATTTTCATTATATTTATAACTGACTTTATCATGAATTCGAAGTGAATAAGAATTAATATATAATACAATCAATCTAATGCTTATAATTGTTTAGTTTGAATAGTTTCCCTTTAAGTTATTATGATCAATAAAAATACAGTTTAATTTGCTGACTTTTAAATGTTCTGTTTCTGAAAATTGACATTTAAATTGTATTATAGAAACAGATTAAATATAAAAATCATAAGGATGACTGAGGCATATATTTCAATTTTTAAAATCATTTCCCCTTTGAGTGCATAATAATTATTTTTAATTCAATAGAAAGCAATTGCAGGATAAATTGTGTATAAATATTAGTAGTATGCTGTCAATAACAAGTTACTTCTAATATATAAAAGACAAATTATTAATAAATAAAATCAAAATGCCATCTCACAGTTTTAAAATTAGAATTGTTTTATTTGTACATTTTATGTGTATTTGCAAATTTTTATAAATAGAATTTGAGAGTATACATTTTAGAACTGAAATTCAAAATGTATTTGTCTATGCCTAGAATTGTTGTGTAAGAGTTGTTTATAAAACATTTACAAAAGTAATTTTCAGTTGAACTGATTGGCAGTGACCCATGGCTTGGGAGGCACAGTCTTAATGAACACTGTATAGAAAAAGCGGCTGATAGGTTCTGAGGTATTCTGCTATTCAACATATAACCATGGCCTCTGACATGATTTGGGATGGCAATAATGAAAAAGAATATAATCTTCACATAATGGAGAACTATTTATGTACATTTATTCAATGAGAAAACTATTCGCTCAGTATGAGTACAGCTTAAAAACAAGAAGGTGCATAGAAAAAGCTATGTCACCTTAATACTAAAAAGAATATTTACACCACATCTTTCTAAATATTACTCAATGAGAAGCAGTAATGGAAAAAACAATTAATTGTTTTCAAAACTGAAGATTTTTAAACAGTGTTCCTTATTCTCTCAATACTCAAGATATTTTAGTAATTATCATAAATAGATGTTTAATAATTAAACATTTTACCACTATATGTTCATCTTATGTTTAAACTTTTCATTTAAAGTAGTTTTTAAATATACCAGATAATACATAGTTGAGCAACATGAATAACATTTTCTGAGAGTTTAAGGGAAACAAATCTATTGAGAAAAAGGATTTAAACTTTCAGTTTAACTTATAACTAACTTACCTAAGTCATAAGAATTCTAATGTTTTTAATCTTTTAGAAAATCATATGAAGGTTATAGAATTGTTATCATTACAATAGGAAAACTGAGGCAGAGAGAATTTACATAAGTTGTTCAAAAAACATCAATAGAGGAGCTTTAAGCATAAGTGAATTGTGCCTGTGCTCTCTAATCACAACCATACTGAAGATGCAAGTAAGATCTGTACTGAAGTTATAAGAATTACTTACCTATATATCTTATCCGGAAACCTTTTTTGTTATTGCCATGATCTGCTGACCATTGAAGAAATATTTCATGACCATTGCTTGTTATATTAAAAGCAGATGAATAATCCCCACTGAGAGAAATAAGCACTGGACTTTGAATATTTGGTCCTTCAGAAAGAAAATAATACAATTTAGATATAAGTGAATAATTATATTCTCACTTATCTTTAATATTTTATATCTTTAGAATAGTATTAAATATGGTTAAATTGTTCCACAGCCAATCTATGTCATCCACAATAACCGAAAACATAACATAAAATGTTTCTTTTAAAACATTGTTTTAAATGTTTCTATAGCTATCTATCTACAATTTGTAAAATAGTAATCCAGCTACAACGAATTTCATATGTTATATAGGTAAATTTAGTGTTGATACTTCTAAAAATATCTAAAGGATAAAAATCACAAAACCAGTTGTTTATACTGAAAGTCTGCATGTATAGTTAGAGCATTTCTACTAAATTTATGAATATCCAGTAAATATAACCCATGGTTACCATCATACACCTGAAGAACATCAAATTCCTTTTCTGTCTGGAAGAACTCTACAAACATGCTGATATTATAACCCTTTTCCACTGAAATGCTCCATGCACACATTTGAAGATTTGGGTAGCTGTCAGGATATCCAGGGCTCAATATGACTCCTGTAGAATCTAGCCGCAATTCATTGGCAGGACAGAGCACTGTCAAGGAAATATATTGTTAAATAACATCCATCTTTTAGAACCTAAGAGAAAACTTCAGTTTTAAATACTGGGTACTCTGCTTTCATGCTCAATAACCATAAAGAAAATGTTACATTGAATTATGTGTTAGAATAGACAACTTCTATTAAGCTTGCCATTCAAAAAATGGAGGAATGACCTAAAATTTATAGTACTGATTTACTTTTTTACTACATGGAACATGCACTACTTTTCTGGACAATAAATAAATAGATAAATAAAAGATAGGACATTTATTTCCTTCTATTTCTTCACATTCTTTCCCAACATTTCCTCCTCTTCTTATATTCTCCCATCTTTGCTTCTACTATCTATGCATTTGTCCTGTTCTTTATCTTCTTTACTTTTTTTTTTTTTTTTTACTTCCTTCTCTCCTTAAACTTTCTGCTCATTTGTGTATGTGGGGCCAGCCAGTAAACTGCCTCCTTTCAGATCATCAGTTCTAGGCAAAGCCCTTTCTGATCTTGGAGGTGTGCTTAAGCCATGAGAATTTAACCCAATTCTGGGTCATCAGTTACTTTTCAATTCTTTGTGCCATCTTCATGCCAGAAATGTAGGCCAAAGTGCAAGCTTTCCTTATTTCATAACAATACTTCTGCTTTAACATCAGACATCTCAAGAACAGATATCTGTATATGTATATATTGTTGTATATATATATTGTTGTACACATATGCACGCACAAAAATATAGAAAATCTGTTATATATTGATAAAACAACATAATTATGATCTAACAGCCTCCACAGTACAGTAAATTTTAATTGTTATCATCAATAGCATTACGTATCAAGGCAAATAATACAAACACCTATTTAAATTTAGATTTGGAATGATAGGGGGATGAGCGAGGTGCGGGCGCAACACCAGGGGTTGTGATCCCGTTGCCCGTCCCGGTCTGGTATGGGCGCGACACTGAGGGTTGCGATCCGTTGCCGGACATGAAAAAAGACAAAAAGAAAAAAAAAAATTAACCATATAAGCATGGGTTTATCTCTGGGCTCTCTCTTCTGTTCAATTGGTGTATGAATTTGCTTTTTATTCCAGTACCATGCTGTTTTAATTACTAGAGCTTTGTAGTATATTTTGATAGCATTATATTTTGTGATGCCTCCAGCTTTTTTTTTTTTTTTTCCCCCTTAAGAACTTGAGGTTCTGTGGTGTGGAAAGAGTATTGGAATTAATTGCTCAGTATGTAAACATTGTGCAGAAGTAAACCAGTATGTCCCAAACAAGATTTAGTTCTATTCGTCAGAACAGTGGAAGTGGCTATAGCAAAATGTCTTGCTAAAGAATTTTTAGTACATCGTTGTTAGAGTTTTTACACTTAGGCTGGACCACGTTTGAGTGTTCTTTCTGGCGACATTTAAGCAATTGAAGGAATGGTTAAAGTAGATAACATTTGACGGTTTGATGAATTGAAAATACATCCCATGCCATTTCTTAATTTAACTACTATCCATAAACTTCCATTTTGAAGTATGATAGCATTATATCTCAAAACAATCAGAGCATCACCTTAAGAAGAATCCTTGTTTTTCAATATTTGTTTGAAAGAATTGGTTTGGAAACAGCAAATATAGTTCCTGGAATTTAGATAAACAGATGAAGGATTTACATATTCACTGTTTTCAGGGTACAAGGACAATTAAGTATTTTGAAATATAAAGTCTCCTAGTAGTATAGGGATAAGAAAGAGTAAAATAGCGAATTATGGCAACATATAATTGCTCTTTTATCTTGTTAATAATTTAAAAAGAATAACTTGGAAAACTCCAAAAAAAATGGCCACAATTAATATGCAGATTTTTGAAAACTGACTGCAAAATATAGTGACTAGTATAGTATAGCTAAATGTAAGGGCTACTTATTATCATTATCATTATTATTATTATTATTATTATTATTATTATTATTATTGGCTGTGACTTCAGTTTCTCTTACTTCAATTGATGATTTTGCTTCTTAGATATGACTTTCAGATTTTTAAAAAACAATTAAATAAATAGTATCAGGTCATACCTAAAAAAAGAATGCTGAGTTTGATTTTCACAAAAAATTATGTAAAAAATAAACTTGAAGGTTGGGAATGAAATGGAATATCTTAGTCAAAAACAAAGAACATTAATGAATAGGTAGCTATAACATATTAAAATGCATGGACTCTTCCAGTATATTTTACTATAAGTACACAAATTGAACTATTCTCATCCTATCCTACACATAACAAAAATCTGGAAAATCACCATGAATAACAGTAAAACTGTATTGATTGTAACTACGCATTAGGCACTGTTAAGCATCTTCTGTGTATTATCTCATTTGTCACAACTTTAAAAAGTGTGTATAATTTTTATCCCCATTGTACATATTAGGAATCTGATGCTCAGAAAGTTAAAAGTGACCAAAGTCTCACAGATTCAGCTTGACAAAATGTTCTTAACCACCAAATGTAATCATCTACTAAATTTAATTTTCATCAAACTCTTTGAAGAGCACTGTTTGGAATTTTCCATATTTTAAGTGAAATAGTTAAATACAGGGAACTAAAAAGGATCCAGAAAAGATTAACAAAAATTATAATGCCCCTTGTAGGACAAATATTTTAAATGAAATATTTTAAATGAACTAAAACCAATGTAAATCTAGCGGATTCCAAATGAATAACTGTGTTAGCAAGCTTGTGAATTAACCCAATTAAACAAAAATGTAAAGTCAGCTTTTTGGATTAAATGAATGCCTGGTCAATTAATTAATTAATACAGAAACTCTGCATGGACTCATTCTGACGGATGATTTATTAACTTTTAGCTAGCATCTGAAGTGCTATCACCAAGCAACAAAAGAAAAAATTAAACAAAAGGGACTATATCAAACTCAAAAGCTTCTGCACAGCAAAGGAAGCAATAAACAGAGTGAAATGACAACCTACAGAGTGGGAGAAAATTTCTGCTAGGTATGCATCAGACAAGAGATTAATATCCATAATATACAAGGAACTCAAGCAATTATTCATTAAAAAAACAAATAACCCAATTAAAAAATGGGCAAAGGAGCTGAATAGGCATTTTTTCAAAGGAAGACATTAAAGTGGCCAATAGGTGGATGAAAAATGCTCAACATCACTAGTCATCAAGGAAATGCAAATTAAAACCACATTGAGATATCATCTCACCCCAGTTAGACTGGCTATAATCAAAAGAAAATAACAAATGCTGATGAGGATGTGGAGAGAAGGGAACACTCCTACGCTGTTGGTGGGACTGTAAATTAGTACAGCCACTATGGAAAACAGTATGGAGGCTTCTCAAACAACTACAGATAGATCCTCTGTATGATCCAGCAATCCCACTTCTGGATATATACCTAAAGGAATGGAAATCATCATGTCGAAGGGATACCTGCACTCCCATGTTCATCCCAGCTCTGTTTACAATAGCCAAGACATGGAACCAACCTAAATGGAACCAATCAGTGGATGATTGGGTAAGGAAAATGTGGTATATACACACCATGGGATACTACTCTGCAATAATAAAAAAAAAATAATGAAATTCTCCCATTTGCAACAACATGGATGAGCTTGGAGTAACTTATGTTGCATGAAACAAGAAAAGCACAAATGGATAAATACCACACGTACTCTCTCATAAGTGGGTGCTAAGAGATAAAGAAGAAAGGAAAGAAAGACCACAGTGGTGCTTTGGACTTGCAGAGGGAGAGAACATACCTAGAGGTACAAAGTGGCGTGGGGAAAGGGGATTGGGGAGGGAGGTTGGGGATAATTGAGGGGATATTTGAGTGGGGGACATGGGGTATAATCATAATTTGTGGTAGTGGACATGCTACCAGGATGGATCTGGCCATCACATCTTAGGCACGAGTGGTGACACCTGGCTTTGTATTCCATGAATAATCACAGCCAATAAAAATAAAAGAAAACATTAAATAATAATAATAAATAAAAGTAATTCTATTAGTTGCAAGAAGTTAAAATAAAAAGTGCTATCACGGGACAAAAAGTTATTGTCTTTTTTTTGTATTCTGTTCAGCAGACAGGATAAGAAGAGATGCAATTACTAATCTACAGGAAACTCTGATTTTGGAAATAAGAAGTTGAACGTCTGATAGTCAAGGGCTTGTGAAATATCTAGGTTATCCAGACTTCTTTATTTTAATCAAAAAATACATTTATTGGACTGGGATCTAACTATAAAAACAAGTCGTGCCCTCTAAGAGCTCACAGTGTACTTTATATATTGGGGTCAAGAAAGAAGTCCTGTTATGTACTTGCTCATTCACATCTTCTGTGTCCGCCAAAGTTATTTTTTTCATTTATAATCTCCCAAAAGGCTGAGACTCTATCTTTTCCTTTTGCAGGTTTAAATATCTGAGTACGAATCCTACATAATCCTAAATGGCTAGAGAGTAGTCTTGCATGAAGGATAAAGCTGAGTGAATAACATCTAAATATCCACAATATAAGTGGTAGACTTCAGAATACTCAACCAACTTCAAGATATTCCAGTAGCATTGACTAAGACCATGGGAAATTCTCATACTGGACTGGGCTTATACCTCCCAAAACTGCCTTCTTTTTTGCTATTGTAAAAGTCTTCTGTGGCAATCTATACATCTTCTTGTAAGGATTCTAATTACATAGAAATCAAATGTTAATTCCTTTTTATAGCACTTTTAGAATAATAAACAGAATTTTAGTTTCAGGCTTATTAAAACAGTAAAGAAACTGCACAGGAAATAGATTTCCATATTCTCCAGAATAAACCGTAATGAAGGAAGTAATCCAAGAAAATCTGTCGAAGGATAATCAAATTCAACTCAATTTTATTCAAATTAGCCAATATTTATAATTAGTTACTGTATGTTAGGCACTGTTCTGGGACTATGGGCTACACAAATCAACCACAAATCATTCCTGAATGTCATAACTCTAGTACATAATTCAAGGTTCGTCATGGTCTTGCCCTTGTAATGTAGTGAATTCCTTGAAGTCCATGCTCCACTGTCTTTCCCTTCTGTGTCTTTGCATATACATCTGACACTTAGATCACCCTTTCTACCAGAATAAGTCTCACTGGTCATTGGAACTCATGTCTCAGGGAACAGCACCTCCATCAAGCTTTCCCTGCCCCACAAACATTTAAAAGTCACCTGTAGGACTGCCATATCCCTTATCTCATGATGCCTTCACAGCAAGGACCACATAAAACATGTTTTGTGTATGTACATTTGTTTTTTTCTCAGATCCCCATAATTAACAGGAACTCAGTAAAGTTTAATGAATCTAGTGATTAAAGTAGAAACCATTTCCAAGTAAAAGCAATCATGATTGGAACCTTTATTTAAAGTGATTCCCCTTTTGGTCCACTTCCATCTCCACCCCTCAGAGCAAAAATAATTTACATAAGTTGAACTGACTTCAGGCTAAACTAGAAAAAATTAAACCTTGGAAGAATCAAAGATGTTAAAAATTAAATTTCAGCAATAATGGAATGAAAAATACCACATATGAGTTGCATGATATAACATTATTGCCAGTTAAATATTTAATATCTATATGAAATATATTTTTCTCAATTTTGCCAGTATTGAGTTTAACATACAACAAATATTTAAGAAATAAATAATCATAAGAATCGGTACCTTGACAAACCGGAGGTGCTCCATCCATCTGGAGTCGTTCTCCTAATCTGCACGTGAGAATTGCATTGCCAACTAAAGTAAATCCTGGAAGACACTGATACCTAATAATATCACCTATTAAAAAAAGGGACAGGGGGTGGACTTAAGATGAATAACAAGGTGATGTTAAAAATGAGCAGATATTTCAATTGTAAAAGCAGAGTATTTTCCCTTCTATTCATTTTTAATCAGTATAAAAATTTCTATTAGCTATAAGTAGGGATAATATTTAAAATGTTGAACAAGCGGTACTTCATAGGCATTGACCAATCAGAACTAAAGGCAAAAATAAACAACTAGTTCATCCGTCCTGGTATATACCAGCTGGATATAAGCAATGGTAATAAGGAAAACAATTTGGTTGATGTAGGTAAGCTATTCATTAAAAATATCACATACTTAGAAGGCTTCCCATTTGTTGCTTTTAAACAAAGATTACATTTACATTAGTTACTGATAGCTTCTTTACATGTCTCAATCAAAATTAATATTATAATATTGACATAATATTATAATATTATAATTGTGATCAAAGTTTATGATGGCAAGAGTAAAGTGTCTTCTTACATCATTTTTCAAACTGTGGACATTAGTTAGATTGAATTTAGAGAGGAGCAGAAGTTAGAACAACAGTTTTAGAAGGCAGCAATATAGTAATTTGGGAAGAACCCCCAGAATACAATTATATGGTTCAATTTCCAACACCATTTTCTAATTGTATATCCTGGAAAAACAGAAATCACTCTTCTTGCCTAATTCCTTTCCTCTTTTCACTGTTCTCCCTTCTTAAGAATTGTAAACAATCTCTATCAATCCAGGGAAAGAGAGTCAAAACGTAGATTGATTCTATTCATTATTTTTGTTTCTTTTTAAACAAATAGCTCTGCTAACAGTATAGTTTTTAAAAAAATAATTTAACAGCCTTTACCTATTTCAAATTCATCATCTTCTGTCAAAATTTCAGCATTGGGTACAGGTGGTGGAGGTTGGCACACTCTTAGTTGATAGGCTATAAAAATAGACAATGTATTTATTTCTTTTCTGAACAGCTACATGTGCTCACATATTTGGAGGGGGGAGAAATTATGTAAGGTTTTTATAAGAATAAAAACAAATGGTAAAATTGTTCCAGTTTCAATTATTTTTTGTTTTTAAAATTATAGTCCAACATTGAGGAAAAATAACCCATTCCTGGGATGGCAAAATATTTTCCCATGGTAACAGTGCTTACCTTTTTGCTCATTATTTCTTAATCTCATTCTCGTCCTTGTTATGTAGTTCATAACACCTTGTTTTTTTTCCCTTTTTGGCATGATCACAATTTGAAATTATGTATTCATGTCTGTTTACTTGTTCAATGCCTTTCTTTCCCAAGTTTCATTATAGAATTCCCTACACTTAGCAAAGTGCCTGGCATTCTGTAATAATTGCACACAAGTACTAAAATCTTACTCTATTCCAGGTATTATTATGAACACTTTACTTATATTAACTCGATTTATCTTCAGAAAAAAAAATTATTATTTAATTTATGCAACTATTTCTATAATTATCCTCATCTTATGAAAGAGAAAATTGTTAAAGAGAGTTAAGAATTTGCCCAAATCACACAATCACACAGCTATGATGTGGCAGAGTTGGGGTCTGAATGTAGATAGTCTGGCCTCAGAGCTTTCTCTCACCATTCTACATTAGTATATTTACGAGATACCTGTGTTTTGAATGTCATGTTTCTAAATATCTACATCTCTTGAACATCAGGTCATTTTATGGGATTAGATTGATTTGCATTTGGTATAATTTAAAGGCCACCAAGAAAAGTTCTGTATGAATTCAAGCATCATGCTTACTAGCCCTATATTATATCTAAAATCTATGACAAATTCACTTGCTTAAGTATAGCCATGTTTTTCTTTGGGAGTCTTGTACAAGACTTGTACAAGATCACACAATTAGTACAGGGTATAAACACAAGCCCATGCCCTCTAACTTCAAACCCCATATTTTCGATATTGCCCCTATTGCAAGAATATTATCAGAATACTGAGGAGCATCAACTAGACCAGTTAAGGAAGACTTCTAAAAGAGAAAACGAATGAGATAAACTTTAAAGAATGAGTAAGATTTTTCCGGTTCCAAAGGGCAAGCATGGGCAAAAGAGCATTTCAGATGGGAGAGGAAACTTGAACAAAAACTTGAACAAAGAATGGAGTCATCTAACAAAAAGCCATTTATAAGAGGTTAATTGCCTAGCAGATTTCCAGGTTACTTTAGACAGAAAGAAAAGGAATGTAGACAAAGAGTGATGAATCAAGGAAAATTTGTTTCAATTTCCTTCTGCAAATTGTTATCTGCCACTGTGAATATCTTCCTGTTTATAAAACCCCTTGCCATACAGGAATGTTAATTTGCAAATGACATACTCTCTACAGAGAAAGATTGCCACCAGAGAAGAGAAAAAAAAAATATTGCTGGGAAGGAAACCCAAACTGGAAAAATAGAACCTGTATTTTTGAGAAAAAGTTCAGGGGAGAGTAACTAGGAATTTTGAAAACCGTTTTCTTGAATTTACACCTTAGATGGGTTACAATTATAAAGGTAAAAGTTATGTAAAAGAGACAATAGGAAGAGCAGTGCAAGATACAGAGAGCCCTACACAGGGAAATACTGATAAGACTATCTTTAGAGAACATTTTATCTGACCTGAGTGTAGGGTAGAGATTATCTCAGAAATTAAAGAGAAATGTAGATATGCCCATGTGTATTATTTTACTTTTGCTGGCCTGTAAAGTTGTTTTTAACCTTCATGCTAATCAATTGTTTTATCATTTTAAATAAGCACATATTTTCATGTGGAATCCATGACTACTGTCATCTGCGGTATATGCTGAGAATGACCTAGATAACTCAGTTGCAGGGCTTAAAAGACCAGAGGTAGTAAATTATCATTAATAAGGGACTATGATACTCAGAAATATTATGTTATTTTCCCAAGATCAAATGCGTGCTGTGAGCTAAAGTCTGTCTTATTCTTTCTTCTTTACCATCAGTTTTATAAACTGTGTCCCTAGAAGCAAACAAATCATTGGGGGGCCATGGAGGGTCAGCCTGAGGTAAAACGGCCTCATCTCCCACCTCCACTTTAATCAATTTTATAAATTTGAATTCTGAACACACTGTCCTTTGAATAAACCTTCTACATCTCCACTAAGTGATTTTATTGATTCTTTTGGCTTCAATTCTGACTTTAGGCCTCAATTCCCCATTCTATGTCATTAGGCTAAATATCTCTTCTGAGTTTCTCACCGCCTTTCTCTTCTACCCTTCCCTGTTATTTTCTAATCCCAGAACCCTGTTTTATGGCACATGTAACCACAGATTGTTTCAGAATTTATTATCGTCCGTAGATTTGCATTCTTGTTCATTGTTTGTGTCCCATATAGATTTTAAGTTACATGAGGGAAGCTCTCTGTTAATCCGCCTTTTATTCAAAATACACTAGCTGCCAACATCTCAGTCTAGATGCCTGAGATGCCAAAATACACAATACACTAGCTGCCAACATCTCAGTCTAGATGCCTGCCATTCTTCTCTGTTGTGCTTGGCTGAACAGTGCCCCCTAAAATTCATGCCTTCCCTGGAACCTCAGAATGTTATATGAAATAGGATTGTTGCACATGAAATTGGTTAAGTTGAAGTCATATTGAATCAAGGTGAACCCTTAACCAGTATGACTGGTGTCCTTGTAATAGAGGAGGAGACACAAAAGACAGACACACAGGGAACATGGCCATGTGATGATGGAGGCCAATATTGCAGTGATTCATCTATAAGCTAAGGGATACCAAAAATTGCTGTCTACCAACAGAAGCCAGGACAAGGCAAGGAAGGTTCCTCCCCTAGAGCCTTCAGGGAGGACATGACACCGATTTTAGACTTCTATACTTCAGAACTGTGAAAGAATAAATTTCTGTTGGTTTAAACCACTCGGTTTGTGGTACTTTGTTTCAGCAGCCCTAGGAAACTAATACACCTGTATTATTAAATTTGTCTACAGTATGTTTTTTACCTTCTCTGTCTCTCTGGTACAACCTTTCCTATATACCAGTGAAGTGGTGGAAGAGAATAAAGACAGTATGTATGTGGAATTCACTATGCGTAAAGACTCTGTAAGATACTTTACATGATTACTTCATTAATAATCAAAATGCTGTACCAAGGTATGTGTAAACATACCCATATACAGCAGAATGAAACTAGATCCCTATCTCTTATACGTACAAAAATCATCGCAAATTGTATTAAAAACTTTGATATAAGACCTGAAACTATAAAACCACTGGAAGAAAACTTAAGGAAAAGCTTCTGAGCATTTTTCTGGGCAAAAATTTTATGGTTAAGATCTCCAAAGCTCAATACTATCTTCTGTACTGATTTTGTACCTCAATTCCCAATTCTATATCACCAGGCTAATCATCTCTTTTGAGCTTCTCAAAAATAGACAAATGGGACTATATAAAACTAAAAAGCATCTGTATAGCAAAGGAAACAGTCAACAGAGTGAAGAGACAACCTGAAGAATGGGAGAAAACATTTGAAAACTATTCATCCAATAAGAGATTAATATACAGAATGTACAAAGAATTGAAACAACTCAACAGCAAACAAGAACAAACAAACAAACAACAAAAAATAATCTGATTTAAAAATGGGCAAAGGATCTGAATAGAAACTACTCAAAAGAAAATACACAAATGGCCAAGAAGTACATTTTAAAAACACTGAACATTACTAATCATCAGGGAAATGCAAATCAAAACTACCATGTGCTATCATCTCTCCCAGTTAGAATGGTTATTATCAAAAAAACAATTGAATGAACAAAATAAATGCTGGTAAAGATGCAAAGAAAAGGGAACTCGTACACACTGTTGGTGGGAATGTAAATTAGGTCAGCCATTATGGAAAACAGTATGGAGGTTCCTCAAAAAGGTAAAGATAGAACTATCATTGGATCTAGCAATCCCACTGCTGGGTATATATCCAAAGGAAATTAAATATGTCAAGGAGGTATCTGCATTTCCATGTTTATTGCAGCACTATTCACAATAGCCATGATATGGAATCAAATTAAGTGACCATCAGCAGATGAATGGATAAAGAAAATGTGGTATATAGACACAATGGAATACTACCCCCAGAAAAGAATGAAATACTGTTAATCACAGCAACATGAATAAGCCTGGAGGACATTATGTTAAGTGAAATAAGACAGGCACAAAAAGATAAGTACCACATGTTCTCACTCTTATGCGGAAGCTAAAAAAGTTGATCTCATAAAAGTAGAGAGTAGAATAGTGGTTACTAGTGGTTAGGAAGTGTACGGGGTTGTGGGAGGATAGTAAGAGGTTTGTTAAGTGATACAAGATTACATAGCACTGTAGGGTAATAATAGTAAACAATACTTGTACTTTTTCAAATAGCTAGAACAGAGGATTTTGAATGTTACCAACACAAAGGAATGATAGAAATTAGAGGTGATGGATCTATTTACTAAATTAGAGGTGATGGATCTATTTACTATCTTGACGTGATGATGACACATTGTATGCATATATCAAAAAAGCACACTACTCCATCAATATAGACTATTATTATATGTCAATTAAAAAAGTAGATTTAACTTAACTTATAAAAAAATGTGTAAACATACCCATTTTGCAAAAACAGAATAGTAAGATTCAGAATGGTTGAATTATTTGTCCAGTTCACAGCACCAAAATTTGAAACAAGTTCCAGTTGGAAACCAATACACATTTCCTCCCACATTTACAGACCAATCTTGATTTCAATATTATTTTGTTGCTACCATTTCCCTTTTATCAATTTACATTGGCTTTTCAAGCCTACATATTAAATTTATAATCTTGGATAAAGCAAGCTCATTACCTTGATTCTCTCCAGTCCCTCATACAAAATGTTTGTTACATTTGAGCCAAATTTTTATGG